CACTTTTTCTTTTTTTTTCATCATAGCTGTGAGTATTCTGATTAAATAGCTGAGCGAAGTAAAAATCGTAACTCTGGAAAGAGTTAGGTATTATAAATAAAGTTAGTGTAGTTTTGAATACGCCATTGAGAAAAGGTACGAAATGGAAACCCTTCGATAAAGTGCAACGAAATATTAACAAGTTGCTTCACGAAAGAAGATAAAGCCCAAGCGATAATTTAGATAAAAATGAAGTGATGACGTAAACAATTTACACCACTTTTAGATACTAAAAGTTACGAAAAGCGGTGTTATTTCTTGTTCAATTTAACGTCAAAAAATAACACATTTTTTTTTAATATCTTTTAAGGGAACAAAGTGGTTGTGGTTACTACACGTACTCCCACTTTATCTGCAGTCCTTCCAGTTATCTTTCTGAAGGATGAATCAGTGCTAAAAAGTGCTGATCGGCCATTAATGATAGATCTTACTAGATATGATAAAGGACAAATGACAACTAACGAAAGACCGAATTGCAATAATGTCAGAAACAAGTACTGTTCTCTTTGTTGTTAACTACGTGATTTTCATGAAATGTCCATTACCATTGTGTAACGTCAAAAATCAACATTTTCTTTAGAAAATCCGTCACAAAAATATTCCTTCTAATAACACTCACAAACTTTGTAGTAAATAAATTAACCTGAAAGCTTTAAACAGGCGCAACAGCGAATGACGTCTGTCATTGAAATTGCGAACATATTAGTTCTCCTTTACTGCGTGTTCAGTATTTACTGAGGTAAGTCTTCACTTCAAGAAAATGCATACCATTAAAATCTGTGTGCATTTGTTTGCTTGTTTGTGGCATTATCTCCTCCGGAAATGCGGGGAGTTGAGTTTCGAGAGACGTACCACCCGTATTCCAAAAATTCATGGGAAGTTATTTCGACCATTCTCATCTTCGCACGGCTTTAATTAACCAAGATATTAATTTAAAAAACTCTGAAAACGCTAATTTTCGCACTCATTTTTCCGATTGGCAAAAGTTTCGTAAGATGGAGATAAAAAAAAAAATCTGCTTTATTTCGAAGAGTGTTGCCGCTGTTCGCTTTCAAATCGTGAATTTCTTAGTAAAAAATTTGCAAGTTTTACAAAATATAAAATAAAAATTGCATTGCCAAACATTAAATATATTATTTCGGATTCCAAAAATTCGTGAGAAGCCATTTCCAACCATTCTCACTTTTGTACGACTTTAATCAGCCCAGAGATTAAAAACTTCGAAAACGCTAATTTTCGCACTCATTTTTCCAAATGGCAACAATCTTGTGCGCTGGAGATAAATGTCTGCTTTATTTCGAAAAGTGTTGCCACTACTCGCTTTCAAATCATAGAGTTTGTTAGTAAAAACTTTTGTAAGTTTGAAATATGAAAGAAGAATACCGCTGAACTTTAAATATATTATTATTACATAACGGCACATTCTTACATTGAGAAAAGCAAGCGCATCCTAGTGACGGCATGGAAGTCGAAAATTTTTTGTTGATGTCAGCATTTTAAATAAATAGCTACTGTTGGGAACTTTTTGTTTCGGATTCGGATAACGGACACGATATGTTATTTCCACGTTCTTTTAGTAATACTGAGAAAAAAAGATTTTTATTAAATCATGACGTCATTCGCATTAACCTGAAGTGTTAAAAGTTTTTATTTCCTAGTATGTTAAATGAATTGATTTAATTCATATTAAAATGTTTTTATGCATTTTTTTTTTTCAGATGCACATAGAACATATAAGTTTTTCTTTAGCCGCAGCCCGCTAGTCTATACTATTAAAATTTATGCGCGTCGTTTGTTTCTGGCATCATCTCCTCTGGAATGGCACTGAGTTGAGTTTCGAGAAAGACACCCTCGGATTCCAAAAATTCGTGGGAAGACATTTCGACCATTCTCATTTTCGTTTGACTTTAATCAGCCGAGATAATAAAATTCTGAAAATACTAATTTTCGCTCTCATTTTTCCGAGTGCGTGCGTTGGAGATAAAAATCTGCTTTATTTCGAAAAGTGTTGCCACCGCTCGCTTTCAGATCGTAGAGTTTGTTAATAAAAAATTTGTAAGTTTCACAAAATATGAAATAAAAAAAAATTGAGTAGGTATAAAAAAAATATGTAAGCTTTCAGATTTTATATTACGCCCAAAGGAACGTTTCTTTAAAGTTTTGCGTGTTACCTTTATTTATTAAATATCATCTTCGCGCTTAAGCCATAAAATTCAATCTAGCAGCAATATCGCAAAATATTTAAAAGAGCATATCTTTAGAATTTCCGATTCAATATCTAAGTATAATTTGCAGCTCAGGTAAGGGGTGGGTGGGTATTACGATTTTATAACTGTGCTGTTCAAAAACTGTAATATATTAGATTAAAGATAATGAAGAGATCCCAACTAATATTTATTTAAATTCCTGTATTTGATTTAATGTTTCGTTTTCGTGACTCACAGTTTAAGAAACGCTCACCTAGACCAGCTCTTCTTAAATTTTGCATTCCTAACCTTTTTTTTTTTTTTTTCCAGAAATTCTTTTTGCGACCCCAGGTATTAAACATAAAAGATATAAAAATAAACATTTTCCCATGAAAATTTCTCTGTTCATTAAACATTCGCGAATGAAAGAAAACCACATCTTAATGAGGCGATTTTTTTTTTTCTTATAACAAATTAAATCACCCAGCGATATTTAACGTTTCAGCGTTAAACGATGTTTTTGTTTAACAAGCGTTAACGCTGAAGTCGTTTCACATTAAGTATGTGGTGCTGAATGGCAGAAGAACATTTAATGCCATTTCAGAAATTGTGGGAAACTGAGTTCAACCTCCGATTCAGAATTCAATCAAGGATCTATGTGGAAACTCGAATTTTGAGTCATTCAACAGCTTGACAAATTCTTCTTGTACTTTATATAGCTAGTGATTAATCTCATTAACGTCAACTAGAAATGCTCTCTTTATCCAAGATAACTTTCTGAAATCGAGATTCGATATAAAGCATTAGCAAAAGTGTGTTTCTAGAGATTTTAAGTGATTTCTAATATGTTTTGGAATTGAAGTTTAACACCTATTATTTTTAGTTATATATATATATATATGTGTGTGTGTGTGTGTGTGTTTATACATTTAAATCTCTTGTATCCGGCACCTAATTAACAGGTAATATCAAAATAACGGCACTTTTGAAAGTCTAAAATATCAAACTGTGAAATTTATACGTATAAAATAGAAAAATATATAATGGCTAATAATCTGAAGTCTTAAGTGTGGAAAACATTTGTATTACATTTCTGCCGTCCAGCATAACAAAACTTATCCAACTGCTAGGCCAAGGAATTTTCTAGAATATAAAGATGAACTACCGGTCCATTCTTATGTGTCGATGCGTGATCTTTGAAGGTAGTGTCCATGATTTTTAGTAAAGTTCACACTGAAGGAAGCCATATTTTTTTCTTGCATAGAAATATGTAAAGAGCATTACGTAGCTGCTGGCGTACACTGTGGCTTAGGTTCATATTCGCTGACGAAGTGACGAAGATTCTCTCGGTTTTAAAACACGTCAGGTGCTGTATACGACATCTTGGATTTACTTGTTCTGAGAAGGTTAGTGTTACTGAACAGACAGGCTTGAATGAATGCGGGCAATTCCTATTAAAATCTCTTAAATACTGCATCTGTTAAATACTGCATTCTTTCAGTACGATGACGAAATAATCTATATGTACTGGGAAAAATGATGAGAAGGAGAAGGAGGAAGATGAAGATAACACGCAGAGCAAGAAAATTATATGGAAGGAAGCTCGCGGACTGAAGCAAAAATGCCTGGTTTCAAAAAGTCTTTAATTTTTTTTTTTTTTTTTTTTGATGGTTTTATACTCTCATAGCTAAAACGTGTCGCAAATTAAACACAATCTTTTTCATTACCATTACAAATTAAGCCAAACTGCAGAAATGTTTCATCATACTTTCTTTTTTGCATTTTAAATATAAATCGGAGCGTTAAATTAAACGGCTTCGACACTTTATTTACGTAAATGAAACACAGCTTCAGCGGACAAATTTTACTTTAAAAATAAATATGCCTTAAAAATTAATTTTAACATGCGAATAAATATTTCTAATAAATCTGAAATTTCTAAATTTTTCTAATAAATCTGTCTTTCTCTGGAAAACAAACTCTTTGGCGGAGGTTAAGACTTTTGAAAAAACTAAAGTCCCCATCCACATGTCAAAGATTTATTCTCCAGGTAATGCAATGCATTATGCGAGCGGGTAAAACGTTTTGTCCCCGAGAGTAATAAAAGTGATTGCCTTGGTCCTGCACGTCCAGCGCTAGTGCCTCCTCACTGCAAAGCTCTGGCAGACTTGAAGTATATAACAAAACACGGAAGATTTTTGCAGACCTTACCTTTGTTATTATGTTGTTATCGGATAGGATTCGGAGGAAATTTGTTTACCTAATCGCATTCTGCTTGACAGCTAGCATTAATTATATTGGCAGGGCATAGTGGTCTGAAAGCGTTGGACTATTGTCTCTTTATTTTCGAAGCTACTCTTCTCACTTAAAATTTCTTTCTATAGTCTCATATTATTTCTAGCATTTTCTCTAATCTCGTTAGTGACGCTTTCGTTTTACTTTTTTCCGCTGCTGTGCTGAAAAAGTTTTTTTTTTTTTTTTTTCCCCCTCTCATCTCTTGAAGTAATACGTTATACCGTACATTCAGGACGCAAATTAAACTGGAGACCGATTAAGCTATTTCTTAGTTTTTGAATTAAATTGTAAATCCAACCGGAGTCCCAAATAAGATTCCTTTATTTGACTATTACCATGAATTCAATAATTTATCAAATTTCTAACTTTATTTTATATAATTTTAATTTTAATTTAATTACCTAATTATTTTAATTATTCAATTATTAGTTATTTTATTTATTTATTCATTTATTTTTCTTTTTTCTTTCTTTCTGACAGCATTCTATAGTGCTCCGTCACTTCTGATTTCAGAAATTAAGCCCTGACTAGGTTCTTCTTGAACAGACTTTGAAACATTGCCATTTATGTCATTAGCTCTGTTACTCCATATCACGCTTTATTCACAGGTAAAAAATAATTTTTTCCTAAAATATAAATAAATAAATATAAAAATATTTTTTCCTAAAATATAAATAAAAAAATATAAAAATATTTTTAAAAACCTGAAAGCTTTCTGATTTTGCATTACGCCCAAAGGGGCGTTTTTAAACGTTTTGTGTGTTACCTTTGTTTATTAAATATCAAGTTCTTCGCACTTAAACCTTAAAATTCAATTCAATAACAATATCACAAAATATTTAAAACAACATATATTTAGAATTTCCGATACAGTCCCGCGCGCAGGAGATATTTTTTTTTTTTTTTTCCCTCGTATAGTACTGCTATTGCTCGCTTTAAAATCGTGGAGTTTCTTAATTAAAAATTCATAAATGCTTTGCAAAATATGAAATAGATAATAAAACAAATTCCAAATTTAGGATACCAGATGCCCATATTATGTAGAGGATTACGTTTTTCAAAATTTGATGGCTGCAGGTACTGTTGTTTTATCACAATGCAAGAAATATGCCTACATTTATGCAGGTTCTTCATTATTTAATTTCTTTCAATATAACACAGGGCAATAATAGTTGGGGGCCACAGTTTGAAAATTGAAACGGTCATTTAAGGTTTTCGAAGTAAAATGCCAAAACGAAATTAATAGCCCTTCTGGGCTTTGGTGTAAAAATAACATCTCTCACAATAATTATTCAAATAAATACCAAACTTAGTAAAACAGTAAAATAAAACACTGTATTGTTTTGGCGATGAAACAGAACAGACCGGAAAAGGCGTGATCACTATACTTATCGCAGCAGCCCTCATCTTACTCTCGGCATACTTCTGTGACGTAGGGTGTTTGTTACGTTTGTGGCCCCAGAGCATTTGGGCCATACTTTAATTCTGAAATAATTTATATGATAAAACTGCAATGAAACCGCAGTTACGAGTGGTATTTTTCAACATGTAAATAAAATTTACTATACTTCAACTTGACCAGTATTACGTGTTATAACTGCGCTTTACAGAAAATGTAATACATTAAATTAAAAATAATGAAGGTATTGCAACTAATTCGTGTCTCACAATTAGAAAAATGCTGATCTAGACTAATATTTTTTTTCTTTTTTTTATTTAATGTATATATATATATATATTTTTTTTTAAAACCATTCGAAACTTCCTATTAACTGAGCTTTCTTTCACAATTAAAGTTTTATTTTTTCCCTGTTATTTTATCAAGCATCGATATTGTCGATAAACAATATTTTTTTTCATCTCTTTTCGTGAAAGCAAAATTCTTTTCCGAACAGTGAAAAAGCTACGTGATTCACAAGAACGAAGTAACGTAAAAAGAAACTCTTCGAAGACGAAAAATCTGGAGTTACAACAGAATTACTTCTAATTACAATAGATGCCAAGAAATAATATAAGCTTACATGAAAAATAAAAACTTGGCAATTTCCCAAAATTGATTAAAGAAGCAGAATTCCGATAAAAAATCCAAAACTATTAATAAAAATTATTATTTTTTTTTTAAATCAAGTTGATTTGTTTAGTAATAGTTCATTAGAAACACCGAGCTATAGATCAGCGAATAAAATTTTTGACAATTGTATTTCTCATACTTGGAGAGTCAGAAATTTGCCAGAAATCTTATAAGAGGAAATTTGTAGTTAAATTTTAAAAGTTTTTACTTTAAAACTGGTTAAGGCAACCAGTTTGGTTAAGGCAACAACAACAACAACCAAAAAAAAAAAAAAAAAATGTCGATGAAAAATCGCATAGGCATTAACAAACATTGCAACTGATTTAAACACGTAATAAGCGGGTAAAAAATAAATATGAACCAAATAGCTAAACAACATACACACACGCATACGCATTAAAACAAATATCAGCATGATAGTTATCAGTTTGTCAATCATTAAATCTCCATTTATGTTTTTAAAATCACAGATATTGGTTTTCGCTTATAAAAAGTTAACGCGTTCTTTGACTGCAGTCCCGAAATAAAAAAAAAGTGCGATTCAAAGTGAAGATAAGCGTTTCGCAATTCTGGGCAAGGGGCAAGAAAAGATAATATTCCAAAGTTTATGTTTCGTTATTAACCTACATTTTAGAACAGTGGCAATAAGCATGCACTTGAAAGTATGTATTTCTGAAGAGTAAATAAATTTTCTCAATGCATTAAAGAAGTATGTTAGGATGATGTTCACTCGGCATTCCCAAATTATGAATCATTCTACTTGTTGTTATGAAAAATCCCACTTATCTGGTAGTAATATCAGCACAAGCCCACGAAATTCATTATGGCAAGGAGTGCAAGACTGCGCCTGTCGTTGGCAAAAGTCTTGAGCACTTTACAGCTGACAGTACGGCTTTCCGCTCCCAATTTTGATAGAGAGCATCCTAGGAAACGGGTCAGAGAGTCTCGCACCCTTTTCCCTTACCGCCAAACTCTCGAAAAGACTTTCTTTAATGTGCCCCCATGTCGCACAGACTCTATACATTTGCAAATATCCATGCCTTCTCCGGGATTCGAACTCGGGCTCTTCGGTACGGCAGTCAACGTCGCCAACCACTATCCCGGTTGGGAAGCGTTGTTATACTTATCATAACTATAATTATTATAAAGTTATACAATCAAGTGTTATATGAATGTACAGAAAAAACGTTGCACCGTTTTACTGACCCAAATCTTATTATCATATTCGTCACCCTGGTCTCAAATATTCAGTGACATGTCCCTCCCTATATCCTCGGTATCAATTACTTTATTAAAAAATACCGTTTTGTGAGCCCACCAGGAGCTGAGCAGTAAAGCCACACTGAACACTGGCAGTTCGACCCGGGATCGATTCCAGGCCAACAGGCTGATTGCATGGGCGTTTCCGTCGCTTTCCCATGTGTAACGAGGATACGAGCCAATTTTTCTCAGGAAGTTCTCCACGAAGACATCCCTGCCCTCAGGTAGACAGCCCGAGCGTACCTTGCCATAACCAAATAAACCAAACTTCATTTGTAATGTAAATGCGAGACATTCTTCCTTAAAAAGTTCTTCACAAAGGCATCCCTATATTTAGGCAGGCAGCGTAAATATCTCTATTGTTACACCCAACTTCCCTTGTAGATTTGGCAGCAGACATCGATTAATAATAACTTTTTATTACTTTTATAGTTTAATGTTGTATAAGAAATTAACTTAATTTTTGGTTTAAAATTATCCATTTAAAAAAAAATTAAGCCATATTATTTGAAGCACTGATAAATTTTGTGTAAATAGCAAACACAAATGATATCATGGGTTTTGTAACCAGAATAATCAGTCATGAAAGTCTGCACCTAGTTCGGAAGTTTAAATTGTTCGTAGATATAGAAACTGTCTTACTATCTAGATGATACCTCATAACCTTACTTTATATCCTGACGATACCTTATATCCTTACCTGAACTGTTGCTTACTGAATCTGCTGCTGACGTTCAGATGTTTTTTAAATACTTATTTTCAGATTGTTTTCGTTATACGAAGAAAAAAAAAAATTTTTAAATTTTTTTTAGGTTTCAGGTTTTGAGATTATTTATAATTTCTCATCCATTATATATCTGCGATCTGTTTCCATTTGAGCCATATTATTTCAAGCACTGATAAAGTTTTGTGCAAATAGCAAACACAAATGATGTCATGGATTTTGTAACCAGAATAATCAGTCATGAAAGTCTGCACCTAGTTCGGAAGTTTAAATTGTCCGCAGATATAGAAACTTTCTTACACTATATCTAGATGATACCTCATAACCTTACCTTATATCCTGACGATACCTTATACCCTTACCTTACATCCAGATACCTTACTTTGTACCCAGATGAAACCATTTTTCTTAGCCTGGCAGCTGCGTTATTCTACAAACTCTTACAAGGGATCTGCAGAGCTTAAGAACGGGTAAAAGATTTTATATTTTTATTTTTTCATTTATTTTGCTTCATATCTTACTCTCACCATTGTAAGAGAATACATTAAACTTGTTTTCATCATTAAAATATATACTTGTAATCCAAAAATATATAGCACATTCTTATTTTAACTACTATCTTTGAAATTAACCATAATGGCCTCCAGTGATCGAGAGATTAAAGATTGCTGAACACTGGTAGTTCGACCAAGGTACAAATGGGCTCCTTACATTGACGCTTTAGTCACCTGAGTAAATTTTCCTTGGAAAGGAAGCGAAATTGACATTCGGCATAGGTCGATGTCCTCGGGTGCTTTGCCAGTTTCCAACAAAGAAATTAAACGAATTGAGCTGAAGAAGATATCAGTGTTTTTTTAATTGGTATTCTATTGTGATATCCAGAAGATCTCTAAATGATTTTAAGGCGAACAGCTTAGTGAACTGTTGCTTACTGAATTTGCTCCAGACGTTCAGATATTTTTTTAATACTTATTTTCAGATCATTTTCGTTATGCGAAAACGACTGCAATAATGCTCAAATTTTTTTAGTCCAAAGGGACTTGAGTCCCGAAGGACTATTACTTTCGTTTTGGCATTTTGCGTCGGACGGATAAATGTCGGTTCACTTTTCAAACTGTTGCCATAAAATGTTAGAGTCCTGCATTATATTTGAAGAAATTAAATAATGAAAATCTGCGTAAATGTATGTATATTTCTCGTACATTGTCATAAAATAACGGTACATAGAGTCATCGAATTTTGAATAACGTAATCCTCCAACGAATATGAGCATGTGGAAAGACCAAATTTGAAATTTGAAATTTGTTTTATGATCGATTTCCTATTTTTTTAAAAACTTTGACGAATTTTTTTTGATTAACAAACTCAAGGATTTCAAAGCGAGCAATGGCAACGTTGTGCAGAAAAAACATTTTTATCTCCAGCGCGTGAGTCTCTGTATCGGAAATTCTAAAGATATGCTCGTTTTAAAAACTATTTTGCGATATTGCTGTTGCACTGGATCTTATGGTTTAAGTGCGAGGAACATGATATTTAATAAAGAAAGGTAACAC